GAGCCGACCCTCTCCGAAAGCAGAGCCCGCCTCTGAGCCCAGGCGAGAAGAACCGCAGCATCGACAAATCGCAGCCCATTAGGATGCACAGTGCCAAAGAAATAATCAGCAAACTTTGCCTAAACAAACTCATTAGTGTCCCGGAGGAGGGGAGCGGCGCCCTTGGAAGACGTTATTAGGGAGGTGGTGTAATTGTGCCGCACTTGCTGGAAGGATTCACCCTCCTCCCGCGGAGAGCCGTCTGCTGTCCCCCTCCGTCCTCACCCAGCACCGGCCCGTGCTTTCTCTGGGCATCTCATTTTCCTCCTTTGTCCATCTGTCCCTTATTTATGAGGAGCTGGGAGAGATCAGCGCAGGGGTCGTCCCTTCCCACCCATCCCCTGCCAGCCAGCCAGGCGCAATCAGCCTCTTCCCCATCCCTATTTCTCACCGCTTAATTGCTGCCTAGTCTGAAGCCGGCTCTCCTCACCGGCATGCGGATCTCCACCCCCAGCCCCTGGAAAAACCTCTCTGTCCCTCTCTATGGAGAGGGACTGGGATGGGTCTCCATCCCTGGGGTGAGACGGGTGGAGAGGACAAGCCACCGGCATCCCTGCCCTGCCCCAGAGATAAAGAACCGCTGTGCCAACAGCAAGATCCGCAGTTGGGAGCTCACCAGGGGGAAAGTTTTCCATCTCCTTTTTTGAAGCAGCATTTTTTTTCTCCGGTTTGCGGAGTTCTTCCTAGCTGGCCTGTTTGCTTTCAAAGTGGAGTGACCTTTTCCCCCTCCTGCCCCAACAGAGGGGACTATTCACAGCCCAGCTCCCCGCAGCTGGCAACGGGGGGCGGGGTTAATTTGCTTTTAATTGCAGAGCCAGCGATGCTGTAGATGTCCAGCGTCTGTGAAAGACACCAGGCAGGGCTAGGCATAAAGTGATGGACTCCGGGCGCAGGGACTTGATGCTCTCCCCTCCCTCCAGACGTAAAATACTCAAAGAACCACGGCTTGGGAATAGCCCAAGCAACGCCCACCCCGATGGCAACTC